TTAATTATTGAAAAAGCAAAATTATTGGCAAATAAATTAGATGTTTCTAAAGATATACTAAAGTTTTCTAATGGATGGTTATATAAATTCAAGGAGTACAATGGAATTCATTAACAAAAACTTTATGGCAAAGCTGCATCTGTTGATCAAAATATCATAATAGAAACTTTACTATTGTTACAAAACAAATGTAATAATTATTCTTTCAATTGAATTTACAATATGGACGAAACTGGTCTTTTTTATAGGTAAATATATGCATACAATTTTTTTTATACAGTAGTTTATTTATTTATTTAATGCTATTACAGATTGGAACCAGATTGAACATTAGCATCTCGATGTCTTGCAGAATGTAGAAAAAATAAGGAATGCTTGTCTATTGTATTGTGTGCAAATGCTGATAGATCATATAAATTAAATCCTTTTATTATCAGAAAATTTGCCAATTCCCATTGCTTTAAAAATGTAAAGATTCAAAACTTACCAATTAAATACCAAAGCAATTCTAAGGCATGGATGCTTGCCATTAATTTTCAAGAGTGGCTTCAAGAATTTAATTATCAAGTAATGCAAAAACACAAAAGTCAACGTGTGCTTTTATTACTTGATAATTGTTCAAGTCACAAGATTGAAGGTGTAAAACTCAATTATATTGATGTTTATTTTCTTTCTTTTAATACCACCTCAAGAATTCAGCTGATGGATGCTGGGATAATTATGGCTTTTAAAAGATATTATCAACATTTTCATCTTCGGTAAGTTATATTTTATCATTTATTATATATGATCGTTATACATATTTTTATTTATTAATTTTTTTTCCCCACTATACTTATTACCTATTTCCCTACTCTTTACCTATTATTTTTACCTTTATTCATTTACCCATTTTACTATTCTTTATTTATTTATTTTTTATTTATACATTTATCTATCCTTACATTTGTTTATTTTCCTTTAATTTCTTCATTTATTTCTCTCACTTTTAAATTTACCATTCATTTTTTTCTCCTTATACATTCCTATTTTACCTTCTCCATTCATCTCCCTTACTATTCTCGCCATTCACCTTTCTTATCATTTGCTTTCCTTGCCATCCATCTTCCTTACTTATTTCCCATTATTTATTTGTTTTTTTTTCTTTTTTTGTTCACCTCCCTTACTATTATCTTTCTATTTACCTTCCTTCCTTGCTATTTGCTTTCCTTGTTATTTGTTTTCTTTTTTCTTTGCCTTCCTTCTTTACCATTCGCTTTTCTTGCCATTCATCTTGTTTTCCTTGCTTCTTCTTTTCTTGTTGGCCTCTCTCACCATTCTCATACTGTTTTTCTTTCTTTCTTGTCATTTGCTTCTCCTGTTGATCGTTTGTTTTTTTATTTCTTTGTTCACTTCTTTTTCTTATTATTTGTCTTTCTTGCCATTTGTTTTTTTTTTCTTTGTTCACCTTTTTATTATTCTCTTACCATTCACCTTTCTTGTCATTCGTTTTGTCTTCCTTGCTTCTTCTTCTATTATTTGTTCATTCTATTCTCCTTTTCTTGTTAACCTCCCTTCCTTACCATTCACTTTTCTTGCCATTTGTCTTGTCTTCCTTGTTGATCTCCCTCACCATTCACTTTTCTTGTCATTCATTTTGTCTTCCTTACTTCTTCTTTTCTTGTTGGCCTCTCTCACCATTCTCATGCCATTTTTTTTTCTTCCTTGCCATTTATTTCTCTTGTTATTCATTCGCTTTATTTCTTTGTTCACCTCTTTTCCATTCATTTTCTTTTTTCTTTATTCACCTCACTATTCTATTACCATTCGCTTTCTTTGGCATTCATCTTGTCTTCCTTGCTTCTTTCCTTAGGGGAGTGCCAGAAAACACGTGATAAAATTTTACTAAGAGCCAACCCCCCCCTCCCTTGTGATCCTAACTATAATTGACTGATAGCATATTATAATTTGATAATGCAAAGAAAGAGAAATAG